TAAAGGATTTCCAGAATGTTTGCTTTATCAACCCATTTAAATGGTTTTTACTCATCAAAATATGCAGTATTCACCATTTTGAAATCTCACTTAGCTTCGCAATTGTCTTTTAGAATGGTAAAGTCTTCGGATCTGCTGTTTGGCTTTCTTTGTTGGCGCATGGGGTGATATCAATATTTTGGGGGTTGAGCAAAACTTCTACTTCAAAAACAGCAAACGACAACCATAAAGTCGGAAGGGAGCCACCTTTTTGCAGGACAAGTCAAATAAGTATACCTCATACCCCAAAACTTACCCGTTGGCGGATTTGGACCTTAGCTGGGCTTAAAGGGAAGGCAGGAGGGAGGCACTGTCTCATTTTGTCTTTCATATACTGATAAAATATTGCACTAGACGACTTCCCCTTGGTTTTGGATCGAAAATTTTCATAACCTCATGCAAAGTAGCGAAGATTGTAGGATAGATGAGAAGAGGCAGTAATTGTGAAAAGTTAAGTGAGATATAACTGAATGGGCTTGGCATTTTATACCAAATTCTTGACTTCGTAATTTATGACTCTAATAACACATTGCATTTAGACCCCACAATTTTTTGAAGCTGTAACAATACGATATAGAAGGAATTTATGACAAACCTTGAAAAACAGCATGAACAATGAAGTGCTAAGTATTTGACTGACCAAATGAGGTTTTTTTGTTTACCAGAACTCGTTGACCTATCCCATCACCTTGAATGTGTAGCGTCCGTAATTCAAATGGAAGGTGGCAGTGCAATCATTTTTCAAGTTGTTATCATGAAACTGTAGAGTCTCAGGTCTTTCCTGAAGCCGTAATGAACCATGCAAAAATACAGGACCCATTTCTGATACACGTATAGAAGACCGTTCTGCCAAGAAGAAAGCGCTAATTCCAGTCTAAAGAGACCGTGCAGTCAAACGTACTATTAAAATAAATAATCTTTGTTACAAGGTAGCCAAATAGCAAACGAATCTGCCATTTGACAGTAAGAGAACACCTCCATGACGACCGATCCAGCCTTGACTACTCAAAGTTTTCGCATTGTAAACTTCCATAGTTACCATTCCAGAGGCACAAGTAGCAATTTTCAAGAGACTAGGGAATTATGAAGTAAATGGGTTTGATCATGAACCACATACATCAACGGGGACCTCTCAATGCATTATTTTTTCGGTGGATGCGGCCAATGGTGAGTACCCTAAATTTGAGCTGAGAAATCCCGCTCCGAAAGATCGTTTGAACATGCTTTCTGCTAACCGTACACATGTGCAAAAGCTAGATTATCTTACTTAAGCCTGACGCCACAAATATGATAAATCGTATACGGTAACCGCTTACACCAACTCGCACCACGGACAGAGCATTAAGTTTAAAATGATTACATGAGTATGAAATGTTATTGGACTGGAGATAATTGCAGTTTTTAGTTTTGGAGGAGCAGCTAAACTAATGCAAGTGCCTGCTGACAATCAGTATCATTACTGAAGTAGCAAGACCTCCAGGCCGTAGTTATCGGGTGCGTACTGAGAGCCAGACGAAAAGTGAATGATAACCTTGTAGGTGAGCTAAATACCAAAAAAAGGTAAGCTTATATGTCAAATTCGACGCCGGAGGTGGATGGCATTACACACATTGAAACAATTCGACAACGCAAGCTAAACAGACGAACCTCAGGAACAAGAAGCTGTTGCATGGCTTTTCTTTCTGCTTAAAAAAAATCACGCAATGGTAATGCTCAATCAAAACCTAAGCCCACTTCACCTGACCTGACAAAATGAGACTGCTTTGAAGCGCCTGTTAACGCTTGATGGAAGCAAATCAACCCAAACTTTCCAAGATAATCTTTCCATCAGGAGTCACACATTAAACACTGCCACTCAGCACTACATTCGTCTCTGGTAGGGTCGTCTGACAGTACATTAAACTATTAATAAACTCGTGTGACGAATGCAGAGCACTGAGGACGCCTGGTCGGTTGAAGTCAAGGCCACAAGGAATGAGGGCAAGACCTCAAGTCTATTTTAGATAGAATGCTGCAGGATAGCTGGGTGTGCAAGTGTTATATCTGCCCAAGTCTCATATAGCACTGACAGGCCAGTAAAGCTCAACACAATTGACGCTGGAAGCTGTAACGCAAAGAACAGAACTGTAGCGGATTTTGAAATAACTATTTAAAATCCAAAAAGGTTCTCTTCATTTTATGTCACGCTCTGATTTTCTTATCTCAGTTCATTATCAAGTGTGGCATATGACGCACAAGACATACTTTTTCTCTATTTGTTTGCAACAGGTTACACCAAACCGTGTCGCAGGTGCTTACTACTCAATTGGGCGTAGAGTAATGAAACAGATTTACGGTATTTTTAGTTTGAGGATAATCTCACTATTTTGGTTTCTGGCAGAGGGTTGAATTAGCTGGAACCAGATAAGCTATAATTGTCCGCATTCGCGTAATATCCTTTGCAAATGAGCGTACTAAGCACAGCAGAATGATGCGAATGCAGCAAAAATGTACAAGTTGCATTTAATCGTGATTTTGGAAGTTTAGCAATCAGATTGTGACATTTTGATTGTTTGCATAACGCCGCGTTTGTGTTACGCGGACACTTAAGGCTTTGCTCCTGTACTTCCTTTGTCAATTGCCCTTGGAATTTCTGCACTTCGACAATACAATTTCCGCCCCAGTGCTACGACTTCCTTTGACTTCAGGGAGAACTTGGGGAGCTGCAGTATAATCCGACACGTAATGTTTGCTGCTAATTAGATGTAAATTAAATAGGACTTCGAACTGGCCCACTAATTAACCTTCGCAGTTTTTGGGTGCTCACAAACTAAAGAAAATGATTGCTTTTACATCCGCAGCTGGTAAACATACCTTGATTTTTAACGTAAATAAATTAAATGCAATACTTTGCTTGTTTGTTTAACTCTCGGCCTTGTAGATAGGCAATTCAGGTGCTCCGCCATTGTACTTTCTCCGGGTGGACTGGCCCCCGGGCCATACCCTTAGTCCCAAGTCCCACTGTAGGTATCACGTCTCCTTCCATCCTCAGGGAGGCCCCGACAGTCTATGAAGATAGTGAAAAATGTTACAAAAAATAGGAATATTCCCTTTATTTACTTCCAATAAGTTTGATTTTCTAACATTAAATTATGGGGAAATTGAAGAACATTGTGTGCCTAATCATCGCAAGACTTATTATTGAATTAGGAAAAAAAAGGCAAAAGAATGGAATTCGATGAGAAAAGCACAGAGTAAACGATTTAGCAGCTAACAATGGGAAAAGTGGTTAAATATGCAAGTGGTAAATTCTTTGGTTTCCTTATTAGGAGTTAAACAAAAGAACCAACCCTGTGCGTTCCTCGTGTTGATTTACTGGAGTGGTCAATCACTCAATAAATGGGAAGTAAATTAACTGGGGCCTTAATGGATTGATTGCAAATGACAATTTCCATTAGCATTTCCAAAGAAAGTAATGCATGCTACTAACCTATTTTGAGCCCATCAAACCGTAAAATGATAAAATATGCGCTTTCTCACCGTTAAGTGGTCCCCATTAGTTGAATCAAAGCCGATTTCATGCTTCAACAATGAGAATACACATTTGTTTGACAGTCTTTACCAAAAAATATTTCGCGATTGAGGAAGAATAACATTGGTAAGCTGGAACGGATGTTGCAGAACCTTGGAGCTTTGACAGCGTTTCAGAAAGCACTCGTCTCTGATGCTTAGGTTACACGAAATTGATGAGCATGCTTAAAAATAATTACCTGGAACACGATTACTGCTTAAAGTATTAAGGGAGTTATTTTTAACGTACAAAGAGAAGATTGTGCTGCCCTAGTCCAAAGAGTCCGTGCGGTCAATCGTAAAATTAAATCGGAACCATTATTGTTACAAAGTACGCAAATGGCAAACTAGTCTGCTATTTGATATTAAACAACCAACTTCATGTTGACTGCATCAAGCTTAACAATTAAGAGTTTTTTGTACTGCAAAGGCGTATGTCTATCCTTCCAGAAGCACGGTTAGCTCTATAGTCGTGTAGAAGAGCAATTTTCGTGAGACTACAGGAATGTGAAGCTAACGAATTTGGTCATGAACCACATACATCATTGGTGACATCTCAAAACATTATTCTCTTTTGAAAACGCGGCCAGTGGTGAACACTCTGAATGTGGGCTGAGAAACTCCACTTCGAATGACCGTTAGAACGTTTTCTGCCAACAGCACACGTGGGATGCATAGCTTACCTTAAATAAGCCTGACGCCACAAATACAATGCATTAAATATGGTAACAGATTGCACAAAATCATACCGCTGATAGAGTTTTGAGTGCAAAACGATGAACGGATACGAAGCAGCCCTGAGCTGGAGATAACTGTTTTTTTAGTTTTTGAGCAGCAGTTGAACTGGTGCAAGTGCCTGATGATAATCAGCATCATGGCGGAGCAACAAGACCTTTGGGCCATGGTGATCAGTTGCGCATTGAGAACCAGGCGGAAGACAACTACTAACCCTGAAGGTGAGCCCAATGTCATACAAGAAGCTGAGTTGGACCATGCTCAACAAAAAACAAGGTTTACGTCTAAAACTCGGCACCAGAGCAGGCCAACATTGAACTATTTAAAGCGACTTGACAACACAAACTAAACAGACGAACTTCAGGAATGAGAAGGCGTTGTATGACTTTTCCTTCTGCTTAACGATAGTTAATAGCAATTAATTCAAACATCAAACACAACGGTAATGATCAATCAAAGACAGAAACCCATTTTAGCTAACCAGACAAAAGATCGCTTCAAGCGTTGGAAAACGCTTAATAGAGGCAAGCCAACCCAACCATGGTTAGACAACCTTCTCTCCATCAGGCATCACACAAACAACACTGCCACTCAATTTAACCCATCCAGAAACCCGACAACTGTCAGGAGCATATTTACAGCAGCAACGCTTTATTGACACAATCCCATCTATCAAATCACACTTTCTTCTTTCCTGTCAGTAACCGAAGAGCATCTTTCTCACGTAGTAGGGCGACGTCCTGACTGATTGGTTTGATGACTCGACCTGCCTTGAGGATGACTTTGGGTTTAGTGAGCTCCCTGTGAGCTGCTTCTGTGGTCCACTCGCGACAAATTGGCTGTGCCAACGCCTGCTCATACTGCTCCGGTTTGGCATAGGGGAAGGGAATCGTTTTAACCTGTTAAACAATAGAAAAACGTGAGCATTAATGCTTAGTACAGCGTGAAAGAGGGAACGTACTAATATGTAAAAACTTTTTTTGTCTATTGAAGCAGATGATAAACAATGATAACCCACCAATGAGTAATCAACTTTGACTACCACCAATAAGCAATTCGAAGACAGGCCATATTCACATTTACCATATGGTAGATGATGCTAATCCTGCATGGAAATGGGTCCGAATGTCATAAAATCTCAAAATAGAGATAATTATGTAGGTCAACCTTCATGAGGGGTCTGACTTTCCTTCAAATAACCCACGATTATGGATAGGAGGTGGGGGAAAAGAACGGTTGCGCTTAAACAAATAACCAATTTGCGGACAAACTTAACGCCCGGCCCTCGAAAATTTATTGTGGTGTACTACCTGGTCTTTGAACCATACAAATATTCCCATATTTTGAAAGCGGTAAGAAAGAGTACAAATTAGCAGAGCAAAACACAAAAAAATGAGTTCTTTGGTCGCCAAACTTTGTCTCAGTATGCCTTGGGACGGTGGCATTCAAGTTCCTTCCATAAATGCCCAACATTTACTTCTAAGGATCTTAGAATCACGAATCTTGGGGAGTAATCTAATGCCACATCAAATCCACAGTCACCGAACAGCTTAGCATAGTTCCATGCGATCACACCATTTATTGAACGAAATTGCAAAGTAATAGTTTTAGCCACTGTGCAGAAGAAAATCCTTGAAGTTTACCTCCAAATGCGAAGTGTTTTCGAATGAAAGAATACAAGAAGTTGGGGCATAAAAAAGTGGGGCAGAATGATACGTTCACAGTGAACGTAGATAGGAAGGTAGGGAGACAGTGAAACACGCAGAGTTGCACAAATATGAATATGCCTCATGGCAGCTAACTTCTTCCTCTTGAATCGTGTCTTTTGACAAAGGAAAGGAGGAGGCGATGATCAACGCAAGAGCAAAACCAATTTCTATGCAAAAATTTAGAAAAAAAAACTAATTGTGTGACTGCGCAACCGATCAATTTCTGTAAACTCCCAACTAAGCATACCAAAACAATTAAAGTGAATAGTAAAGCAAAGTGCCATCTCAATAAGTACACCAAGACCAATAAAATGAAGAACACGGTGGTCTTCAAGCCATCCAGTGCAAACTTAGAATACCTTACGCTAGCATGATGATGAAAAGAGAGGAGTTTCTAGTTCTCTTATACGATAAATAACTTGAGGTTACTATGATATTCTTTGGATGGCTGCTGCAGATTGACAGAGTACATGAAAGTGATTTGATTCCAACTAATCAAAATCAACATTCACCAATTACGTGAACATTTTCATGCTCAGTTCAAAAGAGCGACTTTTAAATGAGAGATAAGGCAACTCTAGGTGGCTATGAAAAACTCGTGGATTTCGTCTAGACCTAGATGTGATTGCTACGAAAAATGACAGGGTCGCGAATGAGAAAAATGCAAGATAGGATTCGACAAAAGCGTTCTCCATGCAGTTTAAAGCATCTAGGAGGTTTGAAAGTCTTGGTTGGAAACGGTGAAGGTGGGAGGAGTGCTAACTGGCAATCTCAGTCATATGACTACATTTCCTTTGTTAAGCTGAATATCTCCGCAAGTCAAAGCAATAAACTTTGTAAATTGCACCTTTTGTGTCCAAAAGACTTACTAAAAGTAAACATTCATTTTCAGAATGTGTGCTTTGCAGTGAGGTAAAGCTTAATCCTGAAAGATTCGAAAGGATCCAAAATAACTACAATGGACTTCTAGATGTAGGGAGCTCCACAATTCCAACTACATCTATGAATCTGAGAAACGTAGACCCAAGGCTATGGCTGACTAGGAAAAGCAGAAAGACAGTTAGGAACGCCAAAAATAGTGATTAAATTTGCCCGCCAGCACCCTACTTAACGTCAGCCTTCAGTTTAAGCAAGCCTAACCCGGGTGAATGCTCAAGCAACTGTTCACAGTAAAGCGTGTAGCAAGCACCCAAACTCCCGTTTCCTAAGCCTGGCGAGGAGACTACATTGTGAATTATAAAGTACAAAAGGTTGAGCAGAATACTGTGGGAGGTTGTCTATAACAGAGCTGACTTTTGAGCAGAATTAAATTAATGATTTTGAATGCCAAGAAGGTAGCAAAAATCAGTTACAATACAAACCACACGACCTAAAAAGTCATTCTCTGCAAATTGAAACATCACCAGATTCTGTGTTTTACTGGAAAACGGGTGAAGAAATCAATCGCGCATACCAAATGCTTCCTGAGCTCCTCATTCACCCTTTCTTTAATGATGACCTTTGCACGTCCAAAATCTCTACGTTTACGCTTAGGCGCCTTAATGAGGCGCTTGCGGCGGAGTTCCTCGTCCACCGCTTCGGTGCCAGGACCGGTCCATCGATTCCACCCGGGCAGGAAGGTGTCTACATCCTTCAGTGCCTCCTCCTCATTCACTGCACGCTTCTCCGCCTCGAACTCTGCCTCAGCCGACTCCACTCCGCCCACCTCGCCCACTGCCTCTTGGAGAGCAGCAAAGAAGTTCTCGTCAGTAGGGTCCAGGAACTCATCCGTCTTTGCATCGGAGTTAATGTTGGTAGAGACGGTGGCGGACTTTTGGAGCATTTCGTCAGAAGCGAGAGTGGAGAGAATAGTCGGAGCGGCGGGAGCAGTGTTAGTCATTTCGATATCATCGCCTTCGTCCATTTCTGTGGAAGTAGGCTTTTGTGGCTGATTTTCGACCTTTGAAAAGAAAGGATGATAGACATTATGCTTACGTATGAACAGTCAAACATTAAACGATGCATGGAGTTTGTAGCAGGTTTTAACGGGATTGAGTGAAAACACATTTATGACTGACAATTTGAGATGGCAGTGCGTACTAGAGCATGGAGACCGTCGACTGCTACTTTAGAACCGCATTCCCCGACCAAGTGATTCTCAAACAGCTGGTTGTGGACCTTAGAGGAGGCTAGCACATCAACAAACTCGCCCACTTTTCCCTATTTTCCTATTAGCAGCTCCAAGTTTTTTGACTTCTACCTGATAAATCTGGCACAAGGAAGATCGCCTGTGAGCAACGAAAAAAAATAATTCGGAAACTTATGGTAGACTTGTAATAGTAAAATTCAATATCACTCCCAAAGATAGAAACAGTTTTTTGTAACAGGTCTTCGATCTTGAAGTGCATAAATCGGCACTATCATTTCTTCTCTTTTCCGCTTATGAGACCAATTTTCCCAGACAAGTCAGATCTAGGGACTCTTCTTATCTTACCTATTCGACTTTATTAGCAAAATTTTAATTGGAGATCTCCGACTGCTATCGAAAAGAATCAGTGAGCATTATTATTGATACTTAAGCACATACGCTATCAGCGCCATATTTAGAACACCTAATTTAATGGAAATGAATGCGAAAGATAGAGAAAAACAGGAAAAGAGATTAGTGTCGCATTTAAATTAATAAAATATCTCGGCTGCAATGATCAATTACCCTCTGAGTTCCTGGTGGCAAAACTGTCAATATTAAAGTCTGTAATCGTAACAGAGAGCCAGAGATTGGCTTCCTTAATTCCACTCTCTCGGGAAGAATCAGTCCTGCCTTCCACTGTTCTTCAAACTCGAAGAGGACAAACTTCATGCAAGTAGTGGCTCGCACGCCAGCACCCTGCTCTTCCTTTTATTGCATGTAATACCAGGTTCCGCAGCCACTTCGCGGGTCCGGACTTTCCCCATTAAACAAATTCAACTTCTGTGGCAAAATTATGAAATGTGGGACAAGTAAGGTTTTAGCGTGCAATGGGAAAGAACCGAATGAAGCCTCCGCTTGAAATTACACCATCATTTTTTGCAGTAGAAAGCCAGTGCTTAATGTTTTAAAATCCCTCCGCTTTTCCCGATTTGATTAAATGAGTTTCTGAAGTAGGGTTATGACCATAAGAAAATAAGGCAACCAGGAAGCAGCAAATTTTCGACGCGAAATCCCGACATCAGAAAAAATTGCATTGGTTCCTAGCTCTGGAAATAGTATCAATATCCCATTTTTGACATCGTAGCTGCCAAAAACAATGCTTCCAACATTATGTTGTTTGCATTTCTTACTCTCCACCGGAAACCGCCAAATAACTTTAAAGTCGGAAAAAACACTGAATTTCTTTTGTTTATGATAAGCCCTTAATCGAGAGTTACTTATGACATCCTTCCTGTTCATCTTTTCAAGGGTCGAGACAGCAGACATAACACCATAATAAAATTAATTCCAATATTATATCCGATTTCCCGAAGTGCAATCCTGAGGCGCACAAAAATAGAAGTCTGTTAACGAATAGAAAAACACTTAGCATTAAAAAAGCATCTAGACAAAGACAACTCTCCGCCTACCCTACGCGCAAGCGACCTTTAGCAAATCGGAATGGCAACCAGAATAAGTACTGCACTGACGGCAAGCAGGTCGACGCGACTACCTGAAAAAAGTAATGTGCGGAAAACACCTACAAAAGGGCGTTTGTGATAATACTGCGTAGATCAATGGGCTGTACATATTTACGCCGCTTTCAAAGTTTTTTTTTCCGCTAAAGCCAAGGTAGAGGGCAGCACGGTTAAATTTAGGACAGAGGACGGCACAAAAACCATCACAGTGATTAGGCTTATTAGCTGTAGCTAGACACCATTAAATGAAGTTAAAACATCAATTAGAAGGTAACAGACAAGCCAGTCTATTTCTTACTTTTAGGTTTTAAAATAGGCATGAAATGCAAAGTTTGGGTACTGGCACCTTTTAAAGGGCTACGAGGCTTTGGCGCTAATAAAGGTGTAGGTTCAAAGGGAGGCCGTACCAATATACTAACGCTGTCAGAAAAGAATTTTGGTTTTTTAACACGATACATTTCCCTACTGCATACATATTTCAATTCCTACGTTCGCATAGTGAGGTTAGACAAACACTGTCCAAGGATAAAGATAGGAAAGTGTGACTTCAAATTTCGTTAAAAGTGAAAAGGGAGCAATGAATATTCGAATGCAGCTATCAGTTGAGGTGCTCGCTGGGGCAGAACCTTAACAAAATGTGGAAAGGCATACAAAATGGTGCAGCAGACAACTTGAGTGCATTCGAATCAAGTGATTAAAAAATAACTAATTCGAGGTGAAAATAAACAAGCTAGACTATAAAAGAAGGTTCGAACAAGGCAATTTCCATTAGGGACAAGTAGCAACAATAAATTCACCATGACAAATTGTAAATTGAAACACTGATTAAAACGGAACTATAATGCAAAGAATATTTTTTTCAACTGGGATATCTACTGAGGCATTTGGAGGAACAAAACAATCCTAGTAAGCTATATACTCGCCACAAATATCCAGCTCACATACAGCACTATTCAATTACAATTATTTTAAATAACCACATATTTCAAAACTCTTCGATGGTCAAGGTCTGCTTTTAAAGTTCTTTTAATAACGATTTTTAACGCATGTGCAACATTAAACTGCCATCCAATTTATCACTCTCTAGTCCCTTGATAAGAGTTTGCGAAAAATGACATGTAATTTACGCCCAAGAACTAAACAGAAAGATCAGAATCGAAAAGGAAATCATTTTGCACTATGAACAATTATGTCATCTTTGTTACTTAAAATTAGCCAGTAGAAGCAATACACATTGTAATTTAGATGTTGGCAATGCACAAAAGGGATGTGTAAAAATAAGGTTAAGGCCTCTAACCACAGAACCAAACGACCGTGCTCCAGATGCCAACAGATTGTCACTTAATAGGCATGACAACTCAGTAAGACTTTAGAAATAGAAGTTACCTTAGCCCACCAACTAGCAAGGTAAGGAGCTATCTCTTCTTCTTCCTTCATTTCCTCATCATCAACCTCCACCTCTTCCTCATCAGTTTCCTCTTCCTCCGAGGAGCTAAGATCAATGTCTGAGATCACAGAATCACTGTCATCATCGTCACCGTTATTCTGTCGACGCTTTGTCAAATCCCGAGCCTGATCGTGCATGTTGGCCACTGCATCTCTCGCTTCCTTGTCATACTTCGCCCTCAAGCGTTGCATTTTCGCAAATTTGCCACCCGTCTTGTGTCGCAAGCTCGCTCGCTCCTTGGCGCGAAGCCGATCCGCCTCAAGCAGGCGTTCAGCGAAAGCCTGAGGGTTATTCTTACGCAGAAGGGCAATGTCCTTTTCAAACTCTTTCATGATGCGCCGCTTTGCGCGACGGTGATAGTTCTTGCTCTTAATCCGCTTTTGCAGCTTAGCTTTGCGAAGCAATGCCACCTCTCGCAACCGCTGCTTCATTTGCTCGGAGGCCTTACGACACATTTTATGAGCAAGTTTCAACTGCTCTTCAATTTCCTTATTGACAGTAGAAACACTAAAATAAACAAAAACAGCATTTATTTACGGCAAACGTCCTAGAAAATACCTGATACGCATGGCATCCTTTACTTACAAGTGCTAAAAATAAACATATGCCCAAAACAACGTAAGAATACTGAGCATAAACAGACCAGGGGAAATTTTTCAACTAAAATACATAATTATATAAAGGCACACACCTTTCAGATACCAAAGGCAGTAACGTGAGAAACTGGCATATTACGGGAGTATTATTGTAATGAATTCAGAAAGCAATACACCTAAACTCACGGCTGAGCTGTTTTTCTATACAAAACCTTGAAAAGTTTTCCTTGGAGAGACGTATCATCTTCTTTTAATGCCTCCAATGCCTTATGCTGCTTAGCTTCCCTAGCTTCATCTGAGGTAGGAAACTGAACGGCATGACTCTGAAGTGGAAAGATTAGCTGATCTGCCAAACGGTTCTGATGAACAGGACCCTTCCACAGATTGAGGCGTTCTCGATTTAAATTAAACTTAATTCTGCGGTTCTTTTTCTCGTCGCGTAAATCATCTGGGACATTGAGGGGAGTAGAATCATTCTGTAAGCGCTTTAACTGTTTGGACTGTCTTGATTTGTTACCCGACTTAAGTTTCAGTAAACCCCACGCATTTGCATCGGGTAATGCTGGAACATTCGCCTAAAAATAATTGATGGAATAAAATAAGCGAACTACCATGTGACCAACGGCGACAAGACGCGCGCCACTATGGGACCATTATAAACGTTTGCCAGGCATTGAAAATTTCCCTAAGATATGATTTGTCAACACAGGTCTCTCTCTATAAAAATGTGCATATAAAGGTCGTGAAGTTAGGGTGGCGATAGTTTATAAAAGGGTTAAAGGAAAGCCACTATTATTCGCCTGAATTTCCTTCTGAGTTTGTTATAAATAAAAACATACATGCTCATAGTGGTCAGCACATTCGCTAGAGTTAAAATGACACTTGCCATCTCTTGATACTAATATTACAAAGTTTTATTTCTCCTACCAATTCCCTCTTCGGTTTCTCCAGCATGTCTAAGCGACAAATCGGCTTATTGATCCTTTTTAAATCGTGCAATTTAGTCGGCTAAGGGCATAAATATAATTCCTGACCAATTTTTGCGGGCTTCGATTTAGGAATGGTTCATAATTATATCTATTATCTATTAATGTTTTTATTATGTGAGAGGCAGCACCAACCAGAACCAATATTTGAACTCCACATCAATTTCTGAGTAGTCATTACATGACATCCAAAAGTAAGTCCATTCAAAGTAGTCATACGCTGTAGCTCATACCCATGGTCATGCTACCATGATTTATTTGTATTTTGCGATAACAAAAAAGCCATGCATTAGTTAGTGCTGCAATCATTTTCAATGTGGTCAAAATCAGCACTGGTATTGCCCTTTATACCGCCAATGTAACATAATAGTAAGAGATTTATTTATGAGCCTAGGTTTATAATGGTAAATTAGGCTCAGGAACGTAAACATGTTTCATACACAGGTATCTTTAAAAAGGAAAAAAGAAGTACTTCTTGCTGTCTTTCACTTTTAGGGGCGTGATTCTGACGATCTATAATGAACATTTGTTTATGATGACATCTTGCATCTTTCACTGAGCAAGACTCTGCAAAATTTTTTGTAAAAATATTCACTAATTTTTATTTTAAAAGTGGTTCCACTGTTTCGTGAATTGCGATCTTATGCGATTATCTGTTATTGCGTACATATAGTTGGCATATTTTTTAATTAGACCGTCGCGATACCTGCTTACGCCTGATATTGTGTGCATACTTTTGCTTGTTTTTAATGTTTGAATTTTTGTAGGCAACGTTACTGACGAGCTGTATGAAATTTTTAAAATGCTAAGAATCAGATACAGCATTTCGCCATCCAGGAAACCAGTGAGGTGCGGTCTAGGCTACTACTCATAATTTTAATCCTTCCAAAAAGTTATTAGCAATGGTATTCAATGAAAGTGTACTTTATTTGCCCTCAGGAGGGTTAATGTTTCCTCTGGGACATGAGCTATTAATAATTCAAAACACATGCTGCCATAAAAAATCCCATGAATTCGCCTTGGCATTTTACCTTCTGATTTTTATCAAATGTTTGGTAAAAAACGTTGAGAAGGTCGCCGTTGAGTCCAAAGTTCTAATTGAGACATTGCTCATTTTAGAGTAGCTATACCTTGCGAAGAAAAGGTTGAGGACTGCCTCTTTGTCAAATACAACACACCTGTTAGAGTTGAAAGGAAAAGTTACCTCGAAGTAAGATTGTATATTGTAATTTCAAGTGAAGTACAACCTTTAGTGAATCCATTTTGCTTTTTTCGTAAACATTTAGGGATATGCACTCCCTTACTATTTTTCGAAAATTTCTGATATATGATGGGAAATCAGCATTAATAAGTTGAGGTGTTTTTGTACCAGGAATTTTGTAAAAGAAATTTACGTAGATTAAGTAAAGCTTAGCTGATCTCCATTCACTTTTATAATGCTCACCAAAATGCAGCGCACATCCAAAACTTCTAAATATTTTCAAACATCATGTTTCCCGAACTAGAATGAGCCGGAAACCAACGATCGCGTGCGTGCAGACTCTCCAAAAGTATCGGCATCAGATATCCCTGCAGACTTCTGTAAAATGATGATTTCCACAGACAAGCCAGCGGACGAAAAGACCATGAAGTTGCTCACGCAGGAGTTTCCGATGCGTGTCAAACGGGTGGGGAATGACGTGTACGCTTCCACAGTGCGGGAGACTCAGACCTCGCCCATGGAACTAGCTGGTCTCCTAAACGACCTTCGTATGACTCTCAAACAACGAGCGGCCAGAGCACGTCCCCTGTGCCATGTTCGTGAGGAAACACTCCACTGTCTTGCCAGAGAATTGCTTAGGCAGGTGAGCTGCGTGCTTTATCATCTAACGGCATAGTCCTAAATTTGAATTGGAAAAAAACGGGCTTACCTTTAAATATCCGTAAAAAAAGACAAATCCTTTGGTTAAATATGCAGGTGAGAAAGCGGCAGCCTCAATTTATGTCACTAGTCATTTTACAAACCGATATTTCTGACTTGAATGTATAACAAAGTTGCCTGACGAATGAACAACCATATAAAGCTTTGTAGACGTGCGTTCCACTTGATCGAATTTATAAATTAAGGTAATGCTATCCTGCTCACGCAATTTATAAGTTCTTGATATATCCATTCCCATAAGTTATTTTTTGTCTTGCCTATCTAGCTTATAATTGACTGTCCAGAGAGGGGCCTACTGTTCAAACAAGTTTTGGAGGAACATTACAAATACATCGAATCTTACAAAGTCCTTATGCAACACAATGATGCTTTCATGTGTCGGAAGAATCTCCAGGCTTTTCACACCAGAGGTACTCAACTTACAAAAGTAAGTGTTGCCGTGACTATGAATGAGTCTTTGCACGCTTTAATCACCTTTCCAAAAAATTATCCCAATTCTTCTTCACACTCACCTTTCAAATTTAGAAGGGTGGATGGTTGTTCCCCCATTATCGTCACGTAAAATCTATTCCTAAGGTTTCTTTAAGCAGTTCAGAGGGATGAGCTTAAATGGCGGCATGTTCAGTCTATAAAAGGGGTACCTGATTAAGTTTTTTAGGAATTTTCAGTATCTTACACGAAAGTTTCATGCGCCTACATATTTCTACTTAACAGTTACTTGCATATTTCTAAAAATATATCGAATTGGAATTCCTTTTGAAGTTGATTAATATCTGTAGCACTTATCTGTAATTCCTGATAAGAATGGAAAATAGCACCATCGTGGTATTGAAAGCAAATATTTTGTTTGGCAGTTGGATCTTTATCTATTCTATGAATTACTTCATCACTATGTCTGGGTTCTACCTCTGCCCCAGAATACCCTAAGCAGGCTTAATAATTGACACTAGTATCCCGTCTACCTGCCTTTTATCGCTCTTTAAAGCGACGAAAATAACTTCCGTTTTGAGCATCATAACATTACCAATTTAATTCACGAATCGATCATAAGTGGAGCATTGATGTTTTATAATAATAATCAGTATATGTGGTTTAGACGTTTTTAAAAAACACAGACTTTTAAATGCATAGCTCAAGAGCCATAGAGCTCAAAGCGTTTCAGATATTGCAAAACACCTATTCCTTAAAGTAAAGGAAACTTTCATTACTCTATCTGTCTAGGTACAGTACCTAGAGGACGAAATAGATGTCTTAAAACACCAGGCGAAGGCGCTGAAGGAGGCTGCGGATAGGCTAGAGAAGAAGTACCAGGAGGATAGAAGGAGCGCTGAAAGTCAAAGGCAAAATGAACTGCGCTATCTTCGTCAGCTGGGGGAACAACTCAAGGTTGCCATTCTAGTCGTTATTTTTAAATCGCTGCCTATGCCCTTCAGACACGAGGCGTCTCATTCCTTCTTTGTCAGTCTTCTTATTACCGCTTTAAATTAATTATTTTAACAATCCTATTCATTTTAAGAACATTTAGGCTGTATTTTTCATTCGAAAGAATTCGCTCAAGCACCCGAATATCATATCAGTTAGTGGTGTAGCAACTTCATAACTTCATGCTGTAGTTTCATATACGTCCCTACCTTTCACTTTAGTTTCTTTCGTTGCTTAACTATTTACCTCGATCCTAACTCAGACCTTCTACAAAGCCGATTTGCTACCGGAATTATAATCACCTTTCAACTAGTAACTTCCTTTTCTTAATCATAATCTCGTCAAACACTTCGCTTAATGTTTTTTTTCAATTGCTTACTTTGCGTCAAATTCGCAGAGTAATGAGCTAGCTTATATTGGTTTGGTGTTTAACTATGATGTGTCTTACCTTTGGCAAACAGTGATACGAAATAGTATGAACAAAGTAGGGCCATCGCTTTTCTTGTAAGGCGAGTGGTGGAAAGTTGGTTGCATTAAATGTACTAATGTGTAAACAAGTGGATTACCTTTTCTTTGGTGTAGCTGGGCGTCATCGTAAATGCGCGTGGCGATTGTCACCCACCCCTCTTAAAACAAATTCAAGCATGTTTAATCGCCCTTCAAGATAAAGTATTTTGTTTTATTTTAGGGCCAAGTTGAGGTCTTTCTGGCGGGGAGCAGTGAATAGTAACAAGTCCAAACACACTCTTTTGTAATCACATGCTGCGAAGGAAGCATATCGATATGTATTAAATGTAGTGTCTAAATAAACAATTGACCCTATTTATGCACCTGGGCATTATCATGTCATTGGAACACAACTATGAACAATTGTTCTTAGGCTAAGTTTATAGCCGTTGAACTTATTTTTGTGTCTAGCTCTAAGTGACCCGTGTCTATTTCTAACTTTTCTTCCGCCTCAACTCCAGATATGAGTTTCACCTAATTTCTAGCTGATAATTGATGTCTCCCCCTAATTAATATTTCTCCAAGCTGGTGGCCTTTGAGTGGGTTGTTACTGTGACCATTAGGCCCCTCCTTGCTTTTTTTATCGAGATAACTAAGTCGTTACATGCAATCAGGTAGTCTTGGTAAATGCATTAATGCAAGCTTTTGAAGTGGTCGGTAGATTTTATTCGTAAGGAATTCTGCTAACAATGAACATGTCCACGTTGGCGTATCATAAGTGTACGATACGTTTTGTGAGTTGTAAGCTGAATGTTATAAGCTTACACCGTCTTTAACGATTATCTGTCAAAATCTCTTCAAAAAAGTGAATTATTAAAGGGAGCTTTATCATCGGTACGACATGCATCAGCAAAAAAATATGAGAGGAGATCTTAGTTTCTTTCACTGACAGTCAAAAATTGAGGTGGAATTTAATGAGGTCGAGCAAGTAAACAGCTATCTCATTTTCAACGGGCTTTGAAATGCAAAAAATACATAAGCTGCAATCTCCGACTCATGTTCTGACACTAAATTTAACAAAATACCGGAGTTTGTATCATTACTTCCAAACATCTACTTACAAACGCCAGAAAATGGGCCTACTAATAAGCTCTCCCCTTTTGACGTGGTTTGTCAATGACTCGATGGATTTATGCTGTCACTGATAGACTAGCGTTCGAATGTAATTGTATCTTTAACGTTGATATACCTTAATGCTCTTCTTGATCTACGTTTGTTTTTTTTTCTTATTGAAGAAATGAGAAGAGTAGATACCATTTTTTGAACAAAACTTTTCTGTATCTGTCTTTTAACCCTCTTGGAAGTTGGTCCGACTGCATTTGTGATTCCCCTGAATGTGATGCACTGTTGTGGCAATCGAGCTGCCCTCGACGATTGAAAGAATCAGCTTGATACTTTGCTTTGTTGGAACAGGCGTCCTTCTCCTGCATAACTTTTACCATATCTTGAGCATCTTCAGTGTTCCTATTGTCTCTTGCCCCAAATCGACTATCAAGGCGGCATTTAATTGCATTGAAATCAACCCTAAGACATGTTGTGTCAGATAATACCCTTCCCTAAACAGGTTTGCTCATAAGCGGGACCGACCTAAATGGATACACACTCCTCTGATCTCGTTTCTCTTTTTTGTCCGGTTGTCACTTTGTATTGTCTACTAAACCACCCAGGCTCCTCTCTAGCTGTCGTAATGCATTTGCACTGTCATCTGTTCCCATATCAGTGCTTTTACCAGCTTTTTTTGTAAGCAGCCTTGATTTGATATAAACATCAGTGAGACTGTATCCGTCGCATGGAGAAAACCTGCGTAAAGCGTAGCTCACCTCTTTGGCACCAAAAGAAGGAAAAATGTCTGCAACCACACCTATTATTGGCGAAATGTGTAGTGTTGAGGTTACACAAACCACATGAACACGTTTTTATCGTTTATTGCACACGAATAAAGCCTTTTTTGCTTCTTACTCTTGCCCTTTAAACGTCAAAAAATCTGTGCTCCTACCGGCCAATCAGGAAGTAGTCTGCTTATAATTGGTAGGGGAGATTTTAAATAGCCACATTTCTGTCAGTGAACCACTCCATCCCATTATGGTCTCATCACGTTTCCTCTGCGTCGTCGGTATTTGGACCTTCCTCCACATCCACACAGTTTTGAGCGGAGTGCCGATTCGACGAGGTCTGTACAGGGAAGCCTTTGGCGACTGGATGGATGAGGTGGATGGGGAGGAGGGGGATACCCCCAAATTCGCTCGAATGGCCCGCATGCCCATTGATTTCTCCTTCAACAGTGACCTCGCGTTACTACGGCGGATGATTAACGAGAATAGACTACATGGGCACAAACTGTTGGCTTTTGGAAAGTGAGGCACCTACACAGGATAAACTGCTTTCCCCCATCCCCTATATTATCCGTACTCTCTTCCTTACGCCAGCACTTTAATGTGCCCTTGAACATGCAACACAACAACACTCCCTTGTGTCCTTCTATTGAATTATACTTATTTCTCGTCTTGCAGCTTTATTAACAACAGTTTCAACTCTTGGTCCAGTGCAAACAAACATATTGTTAAAAAGACGGTTGTTTTGTACGATTATATGCTTTGTGGGAGCATAAGCTCATATCTGACGGGCAGCCTTTTCCATCAATACGTTTCCTGTTTGTTTAGGTCGTCTATCTCTGCATCAGTTAACTGTCGTGAGACAAATCGAAAAAGAATGCCCAACAATACCACAGAGTCGCCATTTACACAATAAAATCGGTGGTGTGGTTCAAGGGTAGATGAAGTAATCTTAGTTCCCACGGAGCAGACACTGAGATTGGCATGTTTTAGGCAGTAGACGCATTTCTGTACCTCAAAATTCACTAAACTCATTTTAAAAGCCGCTGTGACAAAAAAGAAAATTGATAAAAATCTCATTATTTCTTCATGTACTTGTTAAAAAATTCCGAAATGAACCACCCCTTTATATCCCTGCGTAGTGGTAATTCCCCTACTCAAGCAATGCGGTGGTGCACTTGCCACGCTAGATCAAACAAAATAATCAAGTGAATTTATTCAGTTCTCGTTGCGTCCTTTAAAGTGTTTAATGAGCATACTTAAAAATAAACGCAAATAAATGTCATGACATCTTCCCTGCAGCAATTTCTCAAGAGAGTCGAGGTAAAACAGTGCTAAGTTTTAACATTTTTTGAGCTTATCCTTTATAATGCAAATTTCTCAACTCACGTAACTTTTTGGTCAAAGAGGCGCTAAGGTAATTCTGCAAATTTTTAAGAAAGGAAATTGGTGCTCCCACCCCTTGGAGTGGCCAACTGTTGTAGTAATAAAGCAAGTAGGCTTGATTTGCAAGAACAGTGTCAGCTAAAAAACTTTCTAGGCCCTATTTCCCTTGTAAATTAAATGTGGTTTAAATTTTTGTACTTAAATAATCCAACTTAAGCGATTTAGATGATTGTGTCTATGATAATTTAAACAGTCATTGTGATGGTCGTAACATACTTGAGTAAGCATACCTACCGACACTCCATAGCAGGGGCCATTATCTTCGGCGTTAGACAATAAATTACTGATGGAGCACTTCCGTTAGCAACGGATATTGTTACGACTTAATAGCAATGTTTGATTTTTTAAAACAAAACATTGTTATTGGTATACCGACATAAATAATTCCAGCTGACTGGGTTTGATGGCTTGTAATGCAATTAAATACCATTGCATTCATTTATATAGCAACGCGATGAAAAGCGCCCTGTCATCTATGAATACAATCCCAAAGGGCAAAACTTTTGCTTTTGTAGATTTAAAAGGCTTTAATGCGAAATTTTCCGGACATCCCAAAGCTCTGGGATCACTCAAATTAAAGGAATTCCCAGGGCAATCTTACCACTTTCACGGGCAAATGCTGTAATGTCAAACGAGGTTTTACTTAGACAGCATCGTTAATTAGCAGTGGTTCATTGTGCAAAAAATACTACAAATACTACTAAGGTAAAATGTTAAGTAATGCGAAATAATTAATTTCACTTCTTGAATTTAGCGGTCTTACTCCCCGTGGGTATGAGTGACCCCCTGAAATTTTGTCAAATTAATATTGTTTGATTCTTGCAAAATTTACGACTTATGACCTATCAGTCAGAGCACAGACGGCTGAGAGATCGTCAATGCACCCTTACGCTCTAGACTGCATTCGGACCAGTGACTCTGATAACCAAAAAAGGACCAATTGTAGTCACATAATGATAAAAGGCAAAAAAATACCGCTTTCGCAAAGCGCATTCAAACCTTACAGAGAATAAGGTAGGAACCCCTCGGCTTCCCGCTTTACCACCACACCACCCGGGGTTTTAAATATGGAAATGAAATCCAGGAAGGGCGTCTTAGCCTCGCCAAAAAGCAAAGGAACGTAAGCGACAGAAATCAAAATCTCCCAAAATAAAAGCAGTTTCGAGGGACCTGTTGGTCATTCGTAGGACATGGTTAGAAAAACTAGATTAAAAATGCTTTCCGAGACATTAACTTTGACTACAATTATGCTTGTTTTCAATTACAAATCGCTCCATAATTCTCTATCTTCGAAGAAAAGGCAAAATATGTAACTTACTATGAGATTGGTACAATAAAAAGTGGTTCAAAAAGTTGCCTTCGCACATATTGGCCCGATGCTCAAAAATGAGGCCACTTTGGGGTCGGAAAAGCCATTAGAAACTTGGAATCATCGACACCGTTGATCAGAGGATGCAATCTCCTTCAAGATCTGTAGATTATTAATCAGGTAAGCACGTGGTTTGCTGTATCAAAACCACGTGGGTAGCCGAAATGCCAAAAAATGAGGCTGAGAACCAAATGAACTCTGATGATTAAAAAACTGTTGAGTAAGGTACAAATCGAGTCCAGTGATGTCAATAAACTACATCTGAATTGTTTTGAGGCAGAAGCCCGAACAGGCTACTTGGCAGACAATCGGATGAGACCAGATTGGATCAAAACGCCATAATGGCATTGACAAGTAGTGATAAAGCCGTATACTTTTTACAAACCATAGATTTAGTGAGCAAATAGGAGACCATGATGCCCATCGCAAGAGCACCTCATAAGCAGAAGTGGTGCAATAAATAAAATAGTCGCACACGAAGGATTCACCACGGCAAAACCCAGAATCAAATCAAATAAGAAAAGTTCTGAACAGTTGGTTTATTCATATGTACCATTTATACAGAGCAACCTTACTTCCGACGTCCAGTTTTTTTCATTTTCTTCCGCCCATTACTTGCCGCATGAGGAGCTCTCTTTCTCTTCTTCCACAAAAAGTTCCTTGGATTCATTTTTAGAGCCTTCTTCAGAGTTACATTACCACTTAAAAGAGCGTAGGTTTATTATAACAGGCCTACAAATTTGTGGTCGATTCTGGTTTCAAGTCAACATTTCCCTCTTTATTCTACAAAAACGGGTCGCTAAATGAATTAACTTGCATTTTCGCCCATAAAATAATGCGACTGAGCAATATTAATCTCCTCAATACTAACTGTGTGTTCTCCCGCGTCCGTAGTTGTGCGTTTGGAGACAACATTAAGGTCATCAGCAATAAAGTTTGGCAGTGTAACATTTTCTAACTTCCTCATCAACTCATTATGATACTAAAATGGCGTTGCGGGAAATTGCTTATTACCTACAGCTTGCTTGACATTGCGAACTTCTTCTTTGAGCTTATTCTCATTTTCCAAGAGCGCTTTCGCGCGCCGCTCCTGTTTGCGTTTGCGAAATCCTGTCAAATAATCCCTAAAACTTAAAAGACATTCAATAAATTACTTGCGTTTTTGCTCGTCGAAAATAATGCACACCTTCTCGCGTCTACCCATGGTGGGCCGTGTGCACACGAGGTTAGAAGAGGCGCGCCTTCACCAAAGTTAAAGTAGCAAAGCCGTGAGTCTCGTTATAAGAATTGGCAAGCGCAATAACCCAATATAAGAGTTTTAGTCCGCAGTACCAAATCGGCTTAAACACAACCTTGCTTTTCAGAGATTTGTGATTTGGTCTAGGTAAAACATAATGATAATAGTGTCTCCGCATTTTGATTGGTCTGTTACCGCCTGCTTTGCGTGTGCTCAAGATGCAAGCCCTAAAGAAGGTTGTTTCTTTTCTTCGTAGATTATATTTGTTCAGACCACTAATCTCGCAGGTCTTGCCGTAGCGAAGGCCCCACATGCTGTAATTACCTCATTCTACTTTACTTACTCAGCTAGTCCTTGAAAGCGGCCTACAAACGCATTTTGGATATTGTGAAAATGATGCCTGAAACAGCTGCTTACCGAGTTCACACCGAAAAGGTCGTTAGCGAACGTTTGGCCTTAGTGGAAAAGGTTTCTTTTCGAAAATTTGTACCTAGTTCTAGACGCCGAATGTTTCTGATTTGGAAAAGAAAATCGATTGTGGCCAAATTGAAGAAGTAATAGTTCAGGTAGTGTTGTTACTTACTGCGTTGGTCTTTTGTAGTGATTTATGAGCATTCATTTTTTAGGCCAGAAACGAATACGAACTTGCAAAAAATATGCTGAAATGGAAACCATGGGAACCACTTGTTCAGGAAGCCCCGCCAAATCAGTGGAAATGGCCTATGTAAATTTTGCCAGTTTGCACTCTTGTTAAAGTTAATAAATTGCTGTAGAATCTTTAGAATACACTTTTGCTGCTGAATTTTTGCCTCAAGTATTCTAGGTGATCACGGACTTGCAATATCCCCCTAGCCTTTTCAACGGGTGGACAGAATATTTAGCTCAAAGCTTTTGTTTGCCCTCTTTTCCTTGAATTATGATTGCTTGGTTTTTCTAATTGTCTTATCCTGTGATTAATTCCTTCGGCATCTGTTTTATACCCTTCTTGGTTTTTTGCTACTATAGTATGGCGTTTATGGATTCCAATCTTAAGATACGTGACGGTATCCGTCATCTCTGCAATCCTAAAATCTGGCATTCGTGAGGAACATTTGAGTCTTTAATGCGCTTATTTGCTGTTCCTACAATTTACTGCTTTTGGGTAGCTCAGTAGCTTGTTTTGGCCAGATCGCTGTCTTGCTGTGTCCTCCTGCCGTTTCTCCCATGTACTGCGTTTGGCGCTTAAGTGAAGCACTTGATTTGGCGCGGTCTTTTCGGTGCGAAAACTGTTGCATTTGGTGCGCTAGCAGTTAAATTGTCTCCCCTAACCCACGAGTCTCAGCTGGCTGAATGCAGCTTCCTAGTCATGCAAGCTCCAGCGAGCTGGCTGCTAAGGTCGATCACGACGTATCAGCCCTTTGCACGATATCTAAAATCATGCTGTTTACTGCAACCGAAATGCACAAACTCAATCATCCTTTTGTAGACTAATGCCCGGATAGTGGTTTACTTTATGACATTCGGTGGTGCGGTGCCCTGCCATTGACAGCACGTATGGTGGTCATCATTTCTCTGGAATGTCGGGATATGAAGGTGATAGTACTCTAGCTAGCGCATGCTGAAAGTAGCAGTAAGAAAAATATCCCAGCTGCAGAAAAATCGTTGCTGTTATCAAGTAGAAGAGATCGGTTAATACTCTTCTCAGCTCTGATTTTAATAAATTAACTCATTAGAAGGTCAACCTGTGCTATTTTGTGTTACCATAAGCGACTGTGTGCGTTTTTCTAACCAAAAGATAAAATCAAGCTAATTTGTAAATGGCTCTCAAGTGGACACGTTTCTGCGTTCCTAATTGACAGGAGGAATTTTGTGTTAGTGCCCTATATTATGACTACTGATTGCAAATTAGCTACCATAGATCTCATGTGCTGTAGACAGGGTCCTAATAAGTACCATTTATCAACAATCTAGGTGGTTTTTTTCTACGCTTATTTGTGCGCATGCAAATGCAGAGGGGCATTGCATTGCTTTGGTTTATCTGTGGAAAATGTAGGCAGTGATAGGTTTGTTTGCTCTCAATGGTAATTCAGTATACACTCCCAAAAGAGCAACACAAAAATGTGTGTAGTAAATACATAATGACGCGTGGTCTCAGCATCCTCTTGCAGTAATAAAAAGAAACTCGCTTTTTGACTTGTTTGAACAAAAGAAATTTGGAGTTCTATTCAAATGCCTCAGTGACGACATTAAAAACAAGGGGTTTTTGAATATGCGACTCTTGTTGATTGCTTGGAGCAGAGACAGCAGAACGTATACCAGAGAAGATTTGTTTTACGCCTTTGCTAGGATGGTAAAGTAGAGGTACCATCTCACACAACCTTCCATATATCCTCAAGTGATTATTATCACCAAGTCTTGACATGGAACAATCACTTGCGAAATATTACAGGTGGTTTAGAAGGAAATTTGAGGTAGAAAAGAACAAGTATGACTAGAGGACGGTTTTATTGTAGGTTCTAGATCCAAAACGTTTCATGAATGTTGATTGGTTGAAAGAGAGAGATTACAAATGGAGTGAAGTGAACATTTGACAAAGTTGCATGCAGTAATTTGTTCTTTGTTTTGTGTTAAAGTCCGTACGAACTCACCATGCTGTCTTGTATGCTAAAATATTCTTCGATGTTTGATATTGGATCGGAGGTTGTGAAATATTCGAACCCTTCACGACCTCAATTCTAAAGTTGATGTTATTCAACCTGTAAAAAGCACTAACGAGATTCTCACATCTAATTATCGTGTTTGGATTAAGTTTGCAAGAATGGATAAAAATTGGCAAGAAGTTGTTTTTCTCCCTACAGTTAATGCTCATAAATCCATAAATAAAACAGTTGGTTTGCGGCAACCCAGCCGTTAAGATTGTTGGAGGCCTGAAAGTGAGCGTCAGGAACTTGAGAAACCTGAGTCGAAGCAAAGATGAAAGCGAATGACAGAGGTGAGTTGGAAGGGGGCATGAACACTGAGAGAATACAAATGAAGAAGGAGAGTTATGTAATGCAGGAAAAAAACCCAATGAGTTCGTTGGGTTTGGTCTAGAGGTGGTGTTTAGTGTCTTGACGATTAGCTGAGCTCCATGTGGTCCAGTAAATCGAAGCATTGTCGCTGTGGACGATAAAGATGACCTGGAAATGGGTGTGTAACTGGGCAGTGCTTCGATGAGTAATGACATAAGCATAGTACATTGGCAGAATGTGATTTGGCCTAAAGCAGACGCTTGATATGTTGACCTCAGTAGAACCGAGGTAGGGAGGTGAATCATTAAAATAAAGCATTTGGGTGGGAGACGTGAGGTCAACACAGAGCAAATGACGATACTGTGTAAAGGGGCTTTGTTATTAACTGATGTTTTGGGTGCAGATTTGGATAAATTATACTATGGAATGACAGGGAGAGACGTGACTTGCTGAGGGCATGAGCGTGTCTTACATTAAGCTGGCTGTGCCTCGGACACAAACATCGTGCAATAGGTGAGGGCTGTGAGAGGTTCTTTCGGTCATTACACTCAAAATTCCTAGGCCCCGCCTTTCATTAACCACTTTGTTTGTTCTGGTCCATGGTGCTGAATAGTCACTAATCGTTGATGCATACCTTCTTCTTCCTGTCCAGTTATTTGCTTTGTTAAGTTCCTACTCACACACTTACATGAAGGGAGGTGTGTATGTGTGTATGTCCAAGTGATTGGGACGTGAGGGATGTTTAAAGTCAGGAAAAGAAATATTTGCCCAGCGACAATTGCTTGCCTCAGCCTAGGTGCATCTGTGAAAGAATCCTTCAGTTTGCAGCCTTTTATGTGGTAAAATATGGAGGAAACTAACAAGGAGGATCTCGCTGGTCATCATGGTCGTGACAAATGGTGGTGGATAACAACCTTATTGCCTGACCCAGACTTCTCCCTTCAAATGACCATTCGGAATAGAATTTGCATGCAATGCTGTTCGTTGTCTGATTTTAGCATAAAATCTTGAACTTCAGTAGATATATGCTTCGAAGGATTAGTAAATGCTTGCATTACCATTGAAATTAGCACCTTCTTCTGAAATAATCTCCTGTAAACTGAAATAAACGGGTAACAAAAATGAGGCTAGAATGCAGGTGGCTGCGGCTAGGTTTGTTAGGCTTCTGGAGATAAAGGCCTGTATTTTAGTTTCTTTATCTGATACCATACCAACTCGCTTATTTACCTTAATAAAATGAAATTTTGCCTGGACTAGATTGAATTTCAGAATTTGATTTCGGCAACCGTAATGGACACCCGTGCCTTGTACATGTGTCAAGTTCCTGACTTCCTAATTGCGGCCGCTATTGCATATGAATGTGAAATAATACTTAAGCAAATTCCCGTCACAAACAGAATGGCTGAAGTTAAAACACCAAAGTGGATCTGGAATACTTTGGGTACGAGAACATCAAAATTTCTTTAGTTGTCAGTTAGTAGTTAAAGTAGCCAAAACGTAGTGATGACAACTGTTTTCATTGGAAGATCAAATCCTCAATCTTCCTTTGAGACTCCGGTGGCGAAAATGTCAGATGGGTTCGTGACTTTCAGATTGCAAAGGAAAGCAAAACATTTGCTGATAAATGTTAGTATGCTATAATAAAAAGTTACACTTTTAACTGCCCTTTAAGGATCCGCGAATGAAAATTTAGTCCCGCTCATAGCTAGATAAAAAATCCCTTATATTTAGTTGTAACTTTGAAATTAGTGTGGAAAAGTATGACACGAATAGGCTGGGTATATTTTTCTATGTCAAAAGGAATAAGTACAAATCGCTGGCCTATTTTCTGTGGGGCGAACTGGTCCCTAATAAGGGATTTTAGATCAAAATGTAAAGAGGGTTATTAGGGCTAGAAAGCGTAATGGAGGAACTAAAATTCAGAAAGAGAATGAGCTGGAGTCACTAAAATTAATCCTTGTGGAAATGTTTGTTCACTTTGAGAACCAAAGCGAAAGAATGACAGTTGGGAAGGTTGATGAAGGATTGAATTTGAGTGATGGATCTGCCCTTATTGCGAATCACAAAGGCTCTAATTTAAGGGACGCACCCGTTGTTATCAACAACTATCCGTCTGAGATCTCAAAGTTTCATTCTGTTTGCATTTTAGTAATACGCTGAGCGTTTGTTTCACACCAGGCTGGGTGTGTTTATGAAGGCTAGAAAAAATAGTTGCTGAGATCACCTAAATCTACAAAAAAACATTTCCATTTTAACGTCCTATGTGCTTTTGTTCAGAATTTGAGTTCCTAGACATTCTAGAACATTCTAGTTTTCTTCAATGGCCTACTAGTTTAAGACCCTTGAAAAAGATATAAGCACGTGAGAATGGTGACCACCTTGCAACTCCGACATTCCATGCAGCAGGCTCTTGCCCACGCGCTGTACTACTACTGCGCTCATATTATCAGCATCAAATCCTTCCGTATTAGAGTCCCATCTCCCGGCTACTCTAGTTGAGATCTTGACGGTGCCCGTGCGTATACATATCCATCTACGTTCATAACAAATACACAATTTACAAAAGGAAAACTTGAGTTAGTTATCCTCTTGGACCCTTATTGTTACGTCTTCACAATCATTCCTGCTTTTCAGTAGTACCCACAAACCCTTAGGATCAAAAACTTGTAAATATGGCTGAACTGACCTATATTAGTCAGTGGTGGCTTGGAGCCCATCTTAAATTTCCTTTTGGATTG